GGTCAGAAGATCTTGCTTTTGGAATATGGAGACCAAGTTCTGAGACGAATTCGCGTGAGGCTAGTGGAGCCCCAGTGTGTGCCGGACAGCTACCGCCTCTGCCACTGGATGGAGCCGCTCAGCCTTGCGGGGGTGCCATGTGACGTTGCAGGAGTGTTCAGGAAACGTATTTTTTTCTCGTGTGCGACCTCCACATTTTCAGAAGGGCGATTACCAACTACACACACAATAGACACCAAAAGAGAGGGGGGTGGGTTCCACTTGCAATTGTGGAACAAATCGAACCTCGTAAATGGTCTATTGGGATAAACTCTCATGATGAACGAAGCTTTTCAAACAAAGTTAAACCCCTGCTGTTCCAGGGGATTTCGACGCAAGTGGTACTTTTCCCCATATTTCCAGGGTCCTGGAAATCAACCTTTTTGCAGGGCCCCAGCAACCGTCAGGGAATCTTTTTGCAGGGCCTTTTCAAATACAGTGAAACCGCTGTGACTCCCTCGGTAAGCATGAACCAGCGTTTTGCTTGGCCATTGATTGATCGAGTCCAGAGGAAAGAGGAGACCTTTTTGCCCTGGTCACCGACGTGAAACACTTCCAGGGTTCCAATTTTCCACCATTGTCACCCGCTGTCAAGAGCTCAGGCTTGGGATCTGCTCAAGCAGCGAGGGTTGTAGTCCAGGGAAAAGAATCGAAAGACCTGTTTGGTTTGAGGCTCGACCAATCCCATTCTCTGAGTCCCCGAGCTTTCTACTTTTTGGGAGGGCCACTTTAGCGGTAAAGCATGAAGTTTTGACCTGTTTTGGCCAATCCACTCAGGAAGTGAGACATGTGGAGCAGAGTCAGATGTTTCTTTCATGTACCCCAGAGCTGGGCATGCGGTTTGCCGTCGCACAGGTTGATGGAGTCCTTGCCGGCCATGAAGAGTTACCTGGAGGACGCGTGTGCCGAACTGATCTTTGCGAGTTGCAACCCCCCCTCCCCAGTGGTGGTTTGGATTTGTTTGGGGACTTGAACCCCTTGGCAGGTGGCGCTATGCATTCGAATACAGATGCATGGTTACTGTGTAACATCCATCGCGATCGGATCGCACCAGTTGGATTGGATTGGTGGCTTATGAACCAGTATTCAAGCCACAGGGGTGTTTCTCAAAATATGGGTCCGTAAATGTCCTTAAAGGAGGTCCAGCAAAAGGGGTTCGTCTTCCAAAAGTTCGTCTTCCAAAAGTTTGTGTACTTCCGTATTCGGTGAAGGTAACTAAGCGCAAATTAAGAGCGAACAAGGCCTTTTCTGTTTGTGGGGGAGTTGTTGAGGGGAGGTATGGTGGGTGGGGCGGCAGGGTCGCTGGCTTCCTTATCGACTGCAGGGGTTCCTCAAATCCTCGAGGGGTTGCATTTCAGCCGATACTTCACCATCGTTTTCACGATCTTGTGCCCGGAGGCTCATTTCAATAGCTTCGGGGGCTACTTAAACACAAATTCTGCGGAAGGGTTTGCATCCAGAACGGTACGCGGGCCAGTCAAAAGTGTGTGTGTGTGTGTGTGTGTGCGTGTGCGTGTGGGTGCGCGGTGCGCGCGTGCGGCGTGCGTGCGTGCGTGCGTGCGTGCGTGCGTGCGTGCGTGCGTGCGTGCGTGCGTGCGTGCGTGCGTGCGTGCGTGCGTGTGCGTGGGTGGGTGGGTGTGTGTGTGTGTGTGTGTCTGTCTGTCTCTGTGTGTGTGTGTGTGGGGTGACTCTGAGGGGTTTGAGATGCTTGACTCGCACGGTCGACTTGTAGCTTTTGCTTCGTGGAGGAATCAATCTTTAGGCATTTGCGAAACCGGACAGGTACAAAGGTTACAGGTTGCAAATGACCAAGAATTCGCAGACTGGACCGAATCCGAAGCGGTTCCGGGCCCCTGGTCCAGTCAAAACTAAGTGTCTATCAGTCATCTGGGAGGAACATGGGACACCTCACTCCCTGAGTTCCTGGACTCTAAAGGTCTTCCATTTTTGTGGTAAATAGCAAGCTTGGACTTCTTTGGGCCAATCCACTCAGGAAGTGAGAAACTCAATCAAGTTCCCACAAAGACCGGGGCATGCATACACAGGGGGACCTGCGTCATTTTGGAGCGCGTGGCTGCATCCATTCACCTTAGGAGCGACCCGAGCTCGTCGGCATCGGCACTGACCCGGGGCTGGTCGACAAGGCGAGAGTGGCAAGAAAAAAGAAGAAAGCAAAGAAGGCAGCGGTGTCTCTTGGCCAAAAACAGGTTGTCGCTGAGTTTGGCAAGGGGTTTTGGCAAGGGGTTGCACAGGCCTCCAGTTGCTTTTGCGGCCCCAGGATCAACAGGCCTGGTCGAGTGGGTCAGGTGGTTTGGAAGCTTCTCCTGTGGCAACCTCTTCGGCGACGTATTCGGCGTCTGCTTTGGTACCTTCTCTTACCGACATTTCTTGCAGATCCACATGGCACCCCAAGATGTTCTCCGATGACTATTGGGATCGGACTCGCAGCCGACACATGTGGCAATTTCTTTTGCTTCAATCACGCCTGGTAAGGCCCCCATCAACGACTGGGGCTTGTCTCATGGTGATTGAATGGTTGCAGTTGCCGCTGGCAACCAATGAAAACCATGTAAAGCCCTTTGGGGAAGATCGGGCTTGCAAGAATTAACCAAGGGAAAGCCTGTACAAACCTGGGGCCCTAGTTCCATCACGCAGGCCGGGCGCTTCCTCTCGCAGCGGGACCCGGAGGGCCGCGCGCTGCTGGAAGGCGGCCGCTTCGTGTTCCAGGCGCGTCCGCCGTCCGGCGGTTTTCTTGCAGCGAGTTCCCCGCCAACGGGTTGCGCAGCTCGGATTTTTTGGTTCTGTATGGGTTGAAAACCGGATGTTGGATAAGTTTGCGGCATGTGGAAACGGTTAGACCTTAGGAGGAAGGCCAGTGGCAAGGGAATGCCTTGAACGAGGTTTGGGGATGGTTGACTTTGCTATCACATCCAGTGTGATTTTCCACATGACTGTGGATGGACAAAATCCTGCACCAGTTGGGATGGATGAACCCCCATGAATACTGGGATATACAGCATCTACCAACTGGCACGAGACAGATTTAGTCCATCCACAGTAATTCCCGATAGTTTTTCTTCTTTGGGTTCGGGACTTGTGACCAGTCTCCCTCTAGCATTTCTTGGGAGCCACGAACCATTGGCCATGTTTCTTCTGTGAGACCGAATGTTTCGGCTCATGTTTGGTCAAATGGGTGGCTCGCGTTGTTGATTAGTTGGTACCCCCGGAACCAACCGGAAATCACTATGGCCAACCCCAAAAAGAAATGGTTCCCTCTTTTGACCAGAGTCACTGAACAACTGTGCACGTTCGAGTTCATGTTTTTGTGTCATAGTCGAGTTGCCGAGGCAAAGAACATCCCGGTCAAAGTGATAAATTGGGCAAATTACAACGAGCTCACCTGGAATGAAATGAACACGATGACGGTTCGTTACTTAGGGATTCCCAAAGACACATAAATACAGGTGTATGTATACATATATATATATATATATCTATGGATACAGTATAAATATATACAGATAGAGGCTTTTGGAAGCACCGATAAGCTTAGGCACCCCAACATGGACGGATGTCAGCAGGTCCTAGACTGGGTTCCGAGTTGCTTGACACCCTGGCAGATATGGTTCTGTCGGGATTGCTTCGAACCTACACGTTTGGGCGGAAAACATATCATTGGGACCTTCCTAAATAGAGGGGTTTTCCAGAGCTTCCAACCAAAATGGGGGTTCCCAAAAAGGAGACCAACAGGGTATTGTTTTCCTTTTCCAGTTTCTAACAACCTTGCGGCGCCTCTAAAGTGGTTGGCTGACCTCCTGCGCACCCAGGTCCCACCTCCCCATGAGAGCTGAGGCATGTACTTCAACACGCCAGGGACCAAATTTCTACTCTTGTGATGTCAAATGCCAAACTCTAGTCTTTCCTAGCAGGATTCAAATTGTTGCTCTTTTCTAAAAATTCATGTGATTTCTACTTGGAGCACCCCTGCGGTTGCTCCGCCTTGCGAAATGCTGCATTCGCAGGAGTAGACCCGCGAGTGATGTCCTTTGACTGCGCTGCCCAGCTTCGCAGAGGTTGCAAAAAAACACATCTGGGTCTGTCAAACATGTCATATGGCTGTGGGTCAAATATAGGTACCCAAAATGAAAACCCTGGTAAGTGGAAACGTGGAGCTGGGTGGTGGTTTAATTTTGACCCATACCCATATCTCAGAGAAACTAAGTTTGATGGGTTCACAAATCCACGCCAGACCCCCGATTTGAATATTGGGAAAATGCCACCAACTGGTGCGAAGCGGATTTGGTGCACGGCATGAAGCAGAGCTTGGGTGTACCCCGAAGCTGGGCCAAATGGATTTCGAAAGCGGCACTTGGATCCTTTTTGGAAGTGTGTCTTTGAAAGGATTGGCCAAGTGGCAATGCTTTCCTTGGCTCCCTGGACCTTTGGAAATGGGCGGTTCTTCTTTGTGAGCCTTTTGACTCACCGACCCAATCACAATGTCAACGGCTTCCAAGCTTTTCGCCCAGCCGATGGCTCAGAGCTGGCGGAAAAGCGGCGATTGGATCGGTGGGTGCCGCATGGATGTCAGCCCCAGTTGGACTGCCACCGGTTTGGAGGTCAAGAACGTTGACTTCGGATTGAGGGTCTGTTTCGGGCCTCCAACCTGTTTTCGGGAGTCCAACATCACGAGGCTGGTAGAGACAGAAGGTTGTCGGGTTGGAAGACAAGGGCTGCGAGGAACCTCTCTATAGATCCTTCCTGACAAAGAAAGGCACCCCTGATTAGTACGGCGCTGTGGATGAACGCGAAATCGACATTGTATCATGCCTCAAAGGTTGGGCGGCATTTTTGGACAGGTCACTGTAAGGCTTCGGAACATCACGTATGGCACACACCCGAAAAAGCGCCGAATAAAGAGACAGAGCCTAGCGATCCGATCTGGTCGAATGTAAGCGGCTGAGGAGCTGTGCGCCGTGGCGCCAGACAACATCCACAAGACGGTGTACTACCTGAATGCGCTTTGGCAAGTTGATTTTGCGGCAGTTGGAGGGGCGCTCAAGGGAAGCCACAATCACAGCCCGAGCATCTCAAACCACCAAAATGGGTCACACCCAACAATGGAACCGAGCTCAGAAGCAGGAGAAAGATGGAGAAAGAGTGCCTTTCCGGGAGTATCACAAGCTTGCGGGGGGTGCAAGCGGACACCAAAGTCATGGGGCCCCAAGTATATGCCTGTTTCGGTGTTAAAGAAAGAAGCCAGAGCGACACCCAGTACACAGGGTGTGAAGGAAGCCAAAGTTTTAGAGCGTCGAATTGGAAACCAAAGTGACACCCAAACTGTGTCCACGCTTGAACCTGCAAAAGGAAAGCTGTGTGAAGCACGTGAACAGGTAACCAAGGGACAGTCAAAAAATCGAATCGGAGAACCCTGCTGACTCAATGTGGGAAGGATTCAGAGGGGGTGTCTTTTTTTGGGTACCGTTGGTTTTAAAGTGAAACCAAAAGGAAAGCACTCATTTTGGGGTCCCCTAAAAACATAGACATACATACACACACACACACACAATATGCGCCATGGTGAAAACACCCCTTTGGTAACTCTGGACATCAGCCCTAGAGATTGCCAACCAGTGAAAGGGTTCCTAGGACAACTGCAGGAACCATGACCCACAGGAATGCTTTTTTCCAGGGTCCCGGGTCGGTACACACGTTCAGCCGAGCATTGCCAAGACTGGGATCTGAAAATTCATATGGGTTTATCTTGAGGGTAGTGTTTGTGGGGTGGATGCGACGGGAAACCAACGGGGAAACCGAGTCCCTTGGGTTATTCCGTAGCTCGACTCGCGACGGGCAGGTCCTGGTGAAGCCCAAGTACAGCGTCAAGCTCTTCAACATCCACCTTGGCATCGGCCTTGGCCGTCGGTTTCGGCCCACGACGGCAACGCCGTCTAAAGAACAGGGAAAGGATTGCTTGAAAGGCGCTGCTCGTTTTGTTCGGAGGGAAGCAGGGACTGGTTTTGGTAACTGGAGGGTTTGGGGAGCGATGACTTGATCATGACTAGCCAGAGGAATCTGACAGATCCCTTCGGTCGTACAGTCTTTGTTTGTAGGGCAACCATGACCATTCGGCTTGCTGCAAAGGGGAAGAGGAAGCATGTGCCCTTCCTTTTCAACCGTCCATCAGGGTTGTGGGAGTTGCATTTCCCTTCTGCTAGAAAAAAGGTGCGCTGTTCAAAGTGGCAACAATTCCCTAAGGTCACAGAAACCATCCCCTTCCCACAACCCTCAGGTGCCCGCCTTGTTGCTTGTGCCATTCTTGGGTGTGCTTTTGTTCATGGAACCCGTTTTGGGGGTGGTTAAACAGGAGAGCAACAGGAGAACCACCATTTGGGTATCCCTATTTTGAACCCATTCGCAGGTGGTCAAAGGAAAGACTACGTGCCCCCACGAAGGTTCACCGAGTCCGCCTGCTTCTTTGCGGGTCGTTTGGACCGATTTGAATCGTTTAGGGGGTTGATGCCGGTTCTGCTAACCTTGTTTGCCAAAAGATCAACAACTGGATGAATGCGGCCTGGCGTTCGAGTCAATTTAGTGTTGAAAGGTCCGTAATTGGTGGTTTGGATTGGTGGTTTGGGCATAGCCCCTCCTAAACCACCAAACCACCAATCCAGACCATTGCAAGGATTGCAAGGAAGCCGAAACAAGTCAACCAGCAGAAAGTCGAGCGCCCCGTGGCCACGGGTTGGGTCCAGACGCCAAAAGTGCTTCTCGATCGCCCGATCTTTTGCCCGAGGCGGGCACAAGCTGGAACCCGCCTTTGATCCGGAGGTGCAGCGCGGATGCCCAGGGAGGCCAACGCTCGATTGGTTTTTGCGCGTTTTCTCTGGATGTGATTCCTGTTCTTGCAGGACCTCCAAGATGGCTTCGGTTTTTTTCCCTTGTGGTTTCCCCACGCAACAAGAAAGCGGAACCCTCAAGAAACATACCGATCTAGCCTTTTGGGACCGTGTTTTCTTAGGGTCGCAAGGATCCCCTACTTCGACACATACCCACATGCAAACAAACAGGGTCCCCAGCCTGGCGCAAGCCAACTTTTTAAATCCTGGTTGAGGGTACTTTACATCCGGTTTTACTCATGATTGTAGAGGACAGTCTATTGTTGGGCCCCTTAGAATTGTGTTCGAGACGAGCCGCTGGCTTCAGGCAGTATATCGTGCATGTGGATGGCTCGGTGAAGGAGGCGGGGATTTTACCTGAGGCACACGCAGTTCTTACCTTCGCAGGAAGGGGATATACCATCACCTGCGGCTGGTTTGTTGTTTTCCAACCCGGGCTAGTACCTCTCTTGAGGGAGAAGCAACTCGAGTCAGTCAAAACAACAATTCTCCTCTACATCCCTTTTCAATGCTTGCTTGGATTTCCAGGAAATCCCAATCTGTTCAATATTGTTTTACTTACATTGCCTTCTTGAGTTCTGATGCGCTCTCGATGGCGTTTGCAAAGGCAGTAGCCCTTATGTGAGAGGCCTCAAAGATGCTGGAATCCTGTTGGTTGGTATTTGAAGGGACACCGAAAGGAAGCCAACCGCTTGGGACCGGTTCCTATTGGGACAAACCCTTAATGTGGCATACAACCTCCACACCTCGAATCCCACGCCTCAACATGCAATCTCCTATGTTGTCGAAGGCTGCACCCAAAGCCATGTAACACATAAAATATTAATTTTGATTGTGACTCACATGAGTCTGCCTATTTTATGGCGAGCGCAACCAGCACAGCTGGCTCATCGTGATGTAGCTGTCCGGTATTGGGGCATCTCATGGAACTATTGCATTTGAAAGTGTAAAACAACAGAGTTTGATGAACAAAGGAACATCAGTTTGCACTTGAACAACTGAACATAGGTTTTGAAACACGCCGGTCGGTGCCGTTGCAGTGGGATTCGTATCGACTGCCAGGTGCAGTTGGAGCTGGAGGCGGAAGATCCCGAGGCCACCATGCGGGTGTCCGCGGACAAGGCGCGGACTGGTTGGGCTCCCAAAAAACCCCCTTGATGTTGACCCCGGATGAATACACCCCCTGGTTGATGTTGTTTTTTGGGGGGAGTGTCTTCTTTTGGTGATTCATCACTTTTGGGGGGATGGAAATCTTTGCCTTTTGCCCCAAAGACCCAACGAAACCTCAACCACTAGGCCTTACTTGTTGTATCTTTGGACTCAACCCAGTTGCCCAGTGGCACCTTGTTTTTCCTTCTGTTGGGAAGGGGTTTCCCTTGACTTTCGACCAACCAACCCAGCCCAACCCAACCCAACCCAACCCAACCCAACCCAACCCAACCCAAGCTAAACAACCCGCCAAACCAATGAACCCAACTAAACCAACCAACCACCCAAGAGAGAGGGCCCTTTGGTTCGCATCGAGATCCACTGGGCAAAAAGCCTTGTGAACACCGGTAGTCATACCAGGCATCTCTCCAAGCGGTCCCCGTTTTGGATGGCTAGGAGAACCGAAAGGAAACCAACCCCCTGAAGGGTAGACCCTAACCCACCCTAAGACAACCCATAATCCGAAACCTACCCTCAACCCACCCTCAACCCACCCTCAACCCACCCTAAACCCATCCTAAACCCAGCCTTCAAACCCACCCTAAACCCACCCTAATCCCGACCAATTTGGAGAATTCCACCCTCAGGAGACCATAGGCTTTGACAACCTCACCACCATGGTGCAGATGCACGACAACAACAAGCTGGAGGCAATCTTTGCGATATGTCGAATCGAATGTGGCGAAGATATACTTATGGTGGTGAATTTTGGCTGCGGATGCTCAGAGCTCCCTCAACTTCCCCTTGTATCTCCAAAAAGGGCACCTTCAGCGAAACCCAGCAGAGCATTTTGTTTTAAGGGGAAAACTAGTGACCCCTGATGCTTGTGGGTTAAGGCGAACATATCCTTTGTGGTGAGTGTTTGGAATGACATTGGGGGACCCACTCCGAGTGGGTGAGCTACTCAAATTCCATCAGGCTCCTCTTGAGCCTTAGGCCATTGCTTCAACCTCTTGGTGTCTTGCACGACGGACCCGTGTGGATAAAGATAAACCGAAATATGTTTTTCTAACCCAAGGGGGCTGAAACACAGCTCAGAGGGCGTCTGGACCCTAGCCCTTGAAAGTGCTGACCAACTTGGCAAAAGCGACCTTTGCACTGTCAAACATCGCTAGGGTCTTCTTGAAATCCAACATGACACCGGCATGCCAATGGGGAATCGCGGCAATGAGATGAATAAAAGAGTAGGTCACCTACGAGCCTACGAGCGTGAAGCAACCAGAAAAGAAGTTGCAAGCATGAATATTCATTGTTGCCTACTCAGGTTGCACTGGCTGCTCTTTGAGCATTAGCGAGGGGCAGACTCACCGGCCGGGATTGAAGTCTGGTGAGGCGCTGACACGCGTGGCACTCGGCACCATCTGCTACAATGAGCATCACAATTGGTGTCCTTACTGACCAACTATTACTCTCAAAACTATGCTTGCATCACTTGGGCAGCACCACAAGGTTCGTGGGTTGAATTGCATCTTAGACCCCTCCACTAAGTAAGATACCAAAACAAATTGGGGTGTAGTAGCCCAGCCGCCTCAGTGTTAGGTTGTGCTCTGTTAACTTTTTGACACTTGAGGCAACAAAGAGGGATCCCTCTTGAGGGTTTCCAGTGACCCTCCAATCTGACTCAAGGGAACTCAAAATGCAACCTTTCCATGGGAAGCAAAAGCATAAATCTTTGTAGAGTCCATGTACGTATCTTAACTTGGGTGATTTTGCGGGGGACATATTGCCATCCCGCTGCCTTTTGCTTCAGCTCTTTGCAAGTTTGCAAGCTTGTGCCCGGACCACGTAGGTTGCTGGGCCGGAAGAGCAAGAACATTCAAGTTGGAGCAGTTGGGCTCCGCTTTTTGGAAGCCGAGGGCAAACCTTCTTTCCGGTCATGTGAAACTATTCGCTGCGGGGGTCTGTGGCTTTCTCTTGCATATTGGGGAATCCCCTTTTGCTCACCGTCGCTCCCCGCCCCCTCCCCTCTGCCGCAAGAACACAAACAAACAACCAACACATGCAAAGATATACAAACAACTAACACAAGCAAACACAACATACACAAACAAGAATGAATCCCAAAGAGGTCCAAAAGGACGGCCTGCAAAAAGACAACCCCAAGGCTCCCGACAGTTGGACTGCACTCCACCTTTTGACATGGAGATGGCTCGAGGCTAAGAAAGGGAGTCGTAGGGTGCGTTGTTGATTTTACGCTTTTTCAAGGGCAACACAGCCATTTCGGAAGCTCCCCGCTCTCCGTTTCCAGCACACCCAACCTTGTTTTTCCATGTCGAAACACCCACTGTGCAAACTTATGTTGTAGGGGCTGGTTCGCATCTGATCTTTTTGGTGGCTGGGCAAAACAATGCTCAAACAAACACCTTCTGCAGATTTGCAAAGGGAAACTGAAAGGAGCTTGTGTAAACATAGTGGCTTCAACCATGATTCAAGCGAGGTTGAATCGCGCGACCCTGTCCAGCATGAACCGCCTTTGTCTTGAACACCATATCTGTATGTACGTCTGAGTTGTCTCAAAATAGGGGGACCCCCCAAATACTTGCCAAAAGCCGACCCTCAACCAAGATGGCCTGTACCCACTGATTCGATTGATTGTTCGGTTTGGCAGCCCCAAAATCGCCGCCGTCGCCATGGCTGTGACCTCAATGGCCTCCCGAGTGCCGCGTCAAATTCGCAAGGCGCGGGCGGGGGAAGCGGATGGAGTTGTGGAAATCCGAGGAAGCCAGACCATCGCAGAGCAGAAGTTCAGAATTATCCAAAGTTGGTGGCTTGGATTGGTGGCTTGGAGTTTGATTTGAACCCTGTGGATTTTGATGGAAATTAGCCTGAACCAACAAACAACCAATCGAAACCAGGGATTGGTTCCCACTTAGGAGAGCTAGTCGTTTGAAAGGGCAGCGCAGCAGGCAATTCCCACACCGATCCTTGGGATACAGCACAAGCAGCATTCTCCTTCACCCTCTCGAACTACTTTTCTCCGCACATTAACCCAGACCAGAGGTGTCCCTTCTTTTGGTGGGGCGAGACCCCTGTGCCTATTTCCTTGCTGCTGGTGGTCTAAAGCCCAGCAAGAGGCAAGCTCAGAGGGCGGCGTATGCAATCCTTCAGCTCACCAAGATCAGAATAGTATCCGCAAAATCGCTGGCGCCGGAAGGAAGCGTCTCAAAATCATCTGTACAGCTTATCGAATTCACATGCATGGAGCGGTTTTCTCTTCAGTCCCTTTCCTCCACCCAACTTTCCTCGTGCCATCAAAACGTCACCAACCTGTTCCGTCGGGGCCAGGCAGGCTGTCCCACTAGCCATGCAGTCAATACGAAGGTGTTCAGCCATCGGGAGGAATTTATGCAGACATACCAGTTTCCCACCTTATCTTCCGCAGTGCCTTCGGGCTTTGTCTCTTTTTTCTGGACTTCCCTTGAACAACGCAGGGGGCTCAGTTCCTTGTCTCTTTTCCTTTCCCGCTTCTTATGCAACACCACGGGTTCTTGCCTCTCCACGTTGGACACCACCGGCTAGGCGCTGGCGCCACTACGGGCCTTTGCCTCTGAGGCGAGCCGTGAGCGCGAGCCGCGAGCCGCGAGCCGCGAGCCGCGTGTGGGGCTTGGTACATGCAGTGGATGGACAGTTGGGATGGATGAAACCCGATTTGAATACTGGTTGACAAATATCCATCTACCAACTGGCGCGAAGTGTTTTTTCCCCGTCCATCCACAGTGTCAATATGGGAGATTCTCAAAATGGGATGCAATATGACCCCTTTTGGCATTTTGAGGCTTTAAAAGGACACCAAGCATAGCGGACCACTCTTTTCTGCCTCCACATCCGGGGTTGATCAAAAGGTCCTGTGCATGGGACTGTCGGGCAAGCCTCCCATAAAGACTAGTTTGCCCCAGGGAATGGGACAATTACCCATGGTATGAGCGAATCATGTTCGCCTACCCAGTGGATCCCAGAGAAGCCACTTGAAGTAGCAGGTGACCTGGGACTTCCCTTTAGTATACTCGAAGCGTTGGGCCAATTAGGGGGCAAAATGCTTCAAAAGGGTCAGGGATGGGGTCGACTAGTTGCTCCACTATAGGGTGTTGTGGTTTATGGTTCATTCACCGGGAACGAGCAATTCAGGTGCTCTTGTTGCCTTTGACCAACGTGTAGATTGGCAAACTGTGCCCTTTGGTTTCCTTTCACTTGCTGGTTTTCGGTGGGGAATCAAGAGGGTTTGGCAGTGAACCTGACACTGAGTGGGGGGGGTCCTTAAAACGTCGGGGCTCCCTTTCAGGTTGCTTCCGCTTGCAGGAGGGGCCTCAATACTCCAATGCGGGTGGATACGTCTTCCTTTGATGAACTTTCCCTTCGCTTACTTTTTTACCTCCAGGTTTTGCATCATGGTTCCCCCTGGGTTCCTACTATAACGGCAACTGGAATCCGTGTCAGCTGACAGATCTCCAGTTTTTGCCTCGTCCAGGCGCCTACTTCCAAGCCGGAGCCGGAGCTGGTGTTGGAGAAGGCGAGTCCGGGACCAAGCAATCCCAGTTTTGAGATGTCCTGCATTGTCTCTTACAAAGAGTACGAATGTTTTTGCGAAGTCGGTTCCACTTGGCCACGGAATTTGGGGAAACAGGGCCCTGTGGGAACTCGCAGGACTTCTTCAGCCAGTTCACTCTGCTCACTCTGCCCACAAGGCGCGAGGGAGCGAGGGCGCCCGTGTACAAAAAGTGGACGAGGAGATCTCCTTTCGGCGTAAGCAACAAAAGGTTGGGGGATTGACTTTGCCGGTCAAGTCATCTTTTCCACTTGAATTGCAACCCAAAAGAGTCAGCATTTGGCGGACGTCTTGTTTTGGGGGAGCTCAAGCCAAACAGAGAACGTACAGGACACCAAGAGCAAACCAACAGATTGTGTGTTTCCTCGTTTGTTCGATCTCCGTTTGAAAGGAACAGATTGCTTGTTCTCCTTTGTGTTTTTTTTTTTGTGAAAGGGACAGGTTGATCTTTCCCCAACAGCTGAAAGCTCACGGGGTCTCAGCCCAGATAACGTTTGGGGGTGGTTCGGGGGAGCTCTGGAGTCAGGTTCAAGCAAGGTCTGGTGCAGGCCAGGGTTCGGGTGCAGGCCAGGTGTAAGGTTCAAGGAAGGTTGGTCTGGTGCTGTAAGGTTCAAGGAAGGTTCTGGAGGTTTTGGGGTGGTCTGGCACAGGCCAGGTGATCAAGATTCCGGCGGTTTCGGGGGTGCAGGAAGGTTCAAGGAGGTGCAAGGTTCAAGGAAGGTTCCGCATGTTCCGGGCCAGGTCCGCAGAGTTTCGTGAGGGTTCCACAAAGTTCCGGTTCTGCGGGTGCCGCAGGGTTCTGCGAGGGTTCGCGACAGATCCGCGAGGGCTCGGGACAGTTCCGCGAGGGCTTTGGAGTGGTCTGGGGCGAGGTATGTTTGTTGCCGCACGTTGTTGGGGATATCACCTGAGCTTATTCTTGGCAACACAATGTTGAGCTGTCCATATCCGAAGTTCTGCTTGACCAGGAGGTGACCTTCCCGAACGGACCCCGAAATGCTGACGTTCCGTCGAAAGGGAGCAACCCTCTTGCCTCGTTTTAGCCTCCGACCCCCCTTTTGCACCAGAGCAGACCGGCCCACTGACCTGATTTGGTTGTTTCACATC